CAGACTCAGACTCAGACTCAGACTCAGACTCAGACTCAGACTCAGACTCAGACACAGACACAGACACAGACACAGACACAGACACAGACACAGACACAGGGGACTGCAGGCTGACACCAGGCCGGTGCTGGCATCTCCTCCAGTATTTTCACAGGGGATTCTGCAATGGAACACTTGTGCTACATTGAACACAGGACGCGATCCTGAGGATGGATATTTTGAATGAATCATATGTGCATCAGAGAAATGGTTATAGCTTCAGTAAGAACTTTAAAAGAAGGTCCCGCGACTTAAAATCACCTTTTGAAAAATCGTTTTGAACTTGACGACAGCATGCCAACATTTTGGCAAGCCCTTACTGTGGAATCTTGAAATAAAATACTGTTTTCTTCCAAAGTTTTACCTTTGTTTTTCTCTTTAGTTCAGAAAACCAAGTTCAGTCACTGTAGCCTGACCAGAGTACAAAAGAAACTGAAACTTTTCTATAGCCGATTTTCCAACATTTAGTTTTACTTCAGGAATTTGGGGCTACAGTTTTGTGTGTGAGTTCCCAGCTGCCGTGAACTCATCCCTGACAGGCCTGGTCTTCGCTCCAGGGTTTGTTAACTATATTTTATTAGCTTGTATTAGCTTCAGCTTTCTGTTGACTTTAGACCGTGAGGAGAAACGGTTCATGCCCTATTCATTTTCCCATCCAGTATGAAAAGGTACCAAATTGCAGTTACTAAAATTATTATTTCCAAAAACTACATAGCATTCTACAGTATGTGATTAGCTTGTGCAATAGAGCATCATCTATAGACGTTTTGGGAACAGTACTTTTTCATTGTGGATTATTGTCATTTTTAGTCCAATGAAGCAAATGCACCATTGAGGTGATTTGCATTGGACTGAAAATGAATAGGTACAGCTTCTCTAGCTCCTATGGTATTGGACCGATCCAATAAAAGATTTTGAGACCGTTGCAGTGAGCTAAGGCAGAAAGCGAGTTAGGCAGCATTACCTGAGTCTTTTCTTCCAGTGGCTGACTCAGGAAGGCTATCGTCTGAATGAAAATAAAAAGAAATTTACAGCATATCATGCAAAATAATACTATAGCTTCCACAGCCCTAAGCACTCAGACATAAAGCAAGCAGCACATGTAAAAAACTGAATATGCCTGTACGGTGTTGTGTGTCAGCTGTCGGTGGTCAGAAAATGACACAGAAACTTTCACAGCTTAGGTAGATGCTGACTTCAGAGAGCCTTCAGAGAACTATTGGAAACAGGCCTTGGTAGAGGAAAGCTGCTGAACAACCCTGATGTGATATGTAAGTGCCCTTATTGATAATATATTTTTATGACTATCGCCAGCAGCCATATCCCACTGATGCTAAGCAGGTGTGAGCCTGGCCAGTACCTGGATGGGAGACCTCCTGGGAAAGCTAAGGTTGCTGCTGGAAGAGGTGTTAGTGGGGCCAGTAGGGGGCACTCACCCTGCGGTCTGTATGGGTCCTAATGCCCCAGTATAGTGACGGGGACACTATACTGTAAACAGGTGCTGTCCTTCGGATGAGACGTAAAACCGAGGTCCTGACTCTCTGTGGTCATTAAAAATACCAGGGTGTTTCTCGAAAAGAGTAGGGGTGTAACCCCGGCATCCTGGCCAGAAAATTCCCAGTGGCCCTAACCAGTCTTGGCTTCCTAATAATCCCCTCTATGAACTGGCTTCATTACTCTGCTCTCCTCCCCACTGAGAGCTGGTGTGTGGGGAGTGTACTGGCACACTATGGCTGCCATCGCATCATCCAGGTGGGGCTGCACACTGGTGGTGGTGGGGGTGGTGGTGGAGTGTCCATAAAAGCGCTATATAAGTGTAAGCAATTATTATTAATTATTATCTTATATGTGATTTAAATACCAAGCCATTTTTTGATGCTTAATTGTATTAGCTGTATTATACAGTACCGTATTATAAGAAGAGGGATGTTTGGAATAATAATTTCCAAAACTTTTAAAAACTTTGTCACTGCAGAGATTTCTCTACTTTCCTTTATGTTTTTGTATCTCCATTCTGCTCTTACTCCACTGGGTCAAGACAATACGAAACAGAGCCCCAGAAGAGGGCCGGTTGGCCACCTCGCTGTTACTACATGTTCGTGTGCTCATCTGAGCTGGCAGTGTGGATGCTGGACAGCACAGATTCCTTTCATTGAAGTTAAGGATGTTTCCTTTTTCAACATGACTCAGACAATTCTCAGTTCTCAGGGCTCGCTTTGTGAAACAAGGGAAAGCAACTCTATTTGACTGGGCTAGAGTGAAGAACAGCTACCACTAACTTGACTTAAAATGAACTGTTCCAAGAGTTAATTTAAATTAACAGAGCCTTCCTGTAACAGCCTTAAAATCCAACAGGTCAGTAACAGAGATGCATATTTCCTGTGCATTTGTTCCAAATGTTACATCAGCTAAAAGTGGGTGGATTTTTTTTTTATTAACTGCTTAACCGATCAGCACCTAGTACATCTATTGTGATATTACAGACTTTTCCAAATCCAGACCCTTGAAAAAGTGAAATAATGTTCTTTTACCAAGAATTAAAATACAGAATCTTAAGAGAAAAGTTATGTGCATGTAATTAAATCAACAGTCAGTAGAAGTGGAACAAAAGAGGAAATATCACTCTATTAATATCCTGTTAGCAGATATTCAACGTCCATTGCTTTTAATGATCGATGCTTAGATCAGGCTTCTTTGCTAAAAGTTGACACACGGTAGAGTCTGGGATTAACACAGATCAGTCCGCTTACTAGGAAACTCATTGTTCTTTTGGGGGACATTGCCATCATCTGTGAGAAAAACAAAGCATAAATATAAAGACTTTTTAAAATGCTGTCAGACAGAGATGTGCTCTTCTCTCGCTGTGCCAGAGGACAGCATTCCTGTTCTTAAGCTGCATGTACAGTACTGTGTCTGCGCATGTCCATTTCAGCATGACAGTCCCTGTGACCTGAATTTAAATTCTCAAACACTGGTTCAAAATCAACATGGACACATAATTCCTCACCAATTCATTTTTCTTTAATAAAAAGCAAAGGCGCAGTATTGAATAGCTTACGATAGTGAGCACGTAGTGACCTCCACACTTCTCAGAATTTAAACTCGGTTTGAGCGGTCCCAAATAACGAGAACATGGAATGAACATGAACAGAAAATGACAGGTGGCATATATAGCAAAGACAAACAGAAGACATTCATGCTTGTATACTACATGTACACGTACATGTGTATTTAATGCATTATTTTGCATCTATATATGTATATGAATACGTTCATTCACATATAAATGCCATGCATGTATATATAGATACACATACTGTATTGCATGTATTCTATGATATACATATATAATAGAAACACAAACATGGTATTAGTATTATTACATCTAAGCTAAAAATCTATTTATAGGCTGCAAATTAGAATATTTTGTGGATCTTGTCCACAACTTCTTGAGTTTTTTTTCCAGAAGAACTGTTCCTTCATTTTGGTCTTGACACATAACTTCATCATGTATACTTTACTTTTAAAGAAAAAAAAAACTATATATATTTTTATGAACATCCTTTCAAGTTTAATATGATTACCTATTACATGTCTGTTCACAAAGGATTATGGCTTGATTAAAGTTCAGATTCAGTGCTGAACTGATTCCAGTGAATCTGTGTGCGATCCCTACTCAACGGGTTGACTGTATCTTTTACAAGGATATGGTGTTTCCAGTGCAATTTCGGTAGTTTGAGAAACTGCTGTTCATACCCTGGAGATGCTACAGGAATGAGAGCACAAGGAAGAATGGAAACAAAGATAATGGCTCCTAATTACCAACCTGGCGGTGGCTGAGGCGATGGAGTGCTTGCTGCAAGATCATCCTCTTTATCTGCAACAAAGGGGGTGGTTCAGTCAGAGGCTTTTTGCTGTCATGTTAACGTTAGGTCACTCAGTTCTGAACCCAGCACCACAGAAGAAGTGACAGGAACCAAACATCTGGCCATGAGATGAAAGCTGTGGAAGAAGCTTCTGAACAATGAGTGTGGTTGTGACTTAGCATGAGGTTATGACTGGCTTTGTGGAAGTGTCACACTATGGAAGATGTCAAAAGCAAGGCTTTGAAATGAGGTTCATGCTGTAGAAGGACAATGATTTCATTCTCAGGAGCAGATAAAAATCTCGTGTGCGATGTATATTAGATACGAGACAGTAGTCCTAGCCGACAGTACATATAGTAGGCAATCTGTATACTTAAATAGAAACATCAGATGAGAATTAATTCACTATTAATAATTGAGAATTAACCACAACTCACTACTCTATTCTGTATGACAGCAGCAGAATACCAGTTCTACACCCATCCCCTTTTTCCTGTGCTATTTTCATGTGCAAATAACCACTGTGCACAGCCTATAAACATTGGTTTAGGTACAGTATGGAACTTTGCAGAGCTGCTTAACTGAAGATTTAAATACACATTGCAGATTCGAGTTAATATTTCATCAAGTGACTATGCAACACCCTGTCACAAACAAGATGTATTTTTAAAGCTGTATGGTGAATCACCAACATAGAGAGCCAACTAAAACAGGGCCTGAAATTCTGTGGGGACCACATTTTGGATAGTTGTCTTTTTACAAGTATAAAGACACAAGCCAGTACAATTTTAAGAATATGACTTCATATGACTATGAACTATGACTATGAATTCTTCTAATTTAACCAAACCCATGACTCTATGAACCTGAAGCCAGGGAAAATCGTCAAGCAGAAAGCTACAGAGCCCACGACCTTCAGGATGTAATCGAACGCTGAAGAGTATCATCAACAATTTCGGCTCCCTAGCTCCCAGAGCTCCCAAGCTGACAACAGCTCAGCTGTTTCCATGGTTTCTGGGATTCCGCCCTGCGTCTGAACCTTCCAGGAAAAACAATCATGTGTCGTATTACAGCCCTCCGCGGAGGGAGTGGGGTGTACTGTAACTGCTCCTAAAAACCAAACCTGAGGCTTTGAGCCAGCATGATCATGTATGGCAGACTGTGAGGAACAAGGCCTCCCAGATGGGCAGGGGAGAGCTTGAAGGACATCACCTCACACACACAGCCAAAAGGGTAGACCAGGTTCAAACCTTCCTGTGGTGTTGGGGGTGTAATAGCCACAAGAATTTCATCCTCTTCCTTCTCTGCAAACACAATGTGTGCTGAATAACAGGAGCTTCACATACAGGTTAAACGAAGAGAGGCGAGCTAACGTACAGTATAAGGCCTGTCCGAGGACACTGAACAGTTGGAATTTTAACATAATGGTAACGTAGTTCAAGTAGGGAGCTGTGTCAGCAGGCGTAAGCTGCAAAGGAACAAGTAAAGGTTTATTCCTGCTGAAAAGAGAAGAAACGAAACGCAACATTTCGGCCGTGGAGCTTTATTCGGGTGTGAGAGAGAAAAATTGGCAGTTGATAAAGCATGGGGTCAATAACATGGGGTATCCTCTGTTCATGAAAAAAAGAGTGCATTTTGAGGGCTTGGTTTTGGAAATCCATGTCGTCGCTGCAAAGTCGTCGGAGCCTGAGGAACTGTGAAAAGGGGAGAGAGTGTTTATTATGTGTGGGGTGAAAGCAGCTGTACCGTAGCTGTGTGAATCTGTGTGTTTTTGCGGACGGAAGTAGTGAGTTGTGGGTGGTTAATGGATAGGTTTATGTCCTGAAATGGAAAAGTAGTGGAAGAGATGCTTTATTTATCAACTGCCGATTTTCCTCTTCCTCTCACACCTGAAGAAGGCTCCAAAGCCGAAACGCTGTGTTTCTTTTCTTCTCTATTCACCATGGAGCAAACTTTTACTTATTCATAAAGGTAACAGTGTACTCAGTCTTCATGCTGATACTAAATGCTTTTGTATGCCACAGCTATATATTGGGCTATAGTTACTGTAAATAAGAATCACAATCTGCATTTCAGGACACACTCTTAAAGCAGAGCATATCACACAAAGATAGTCAAGAAAACTGAATATATTCTAAATAGGATTTACAGCACAATTGCTGACATTTGCATCTCATATTCTCAGAGACCCCAAACTTCCTTTACTGCTAAATGCACATAATTTAAAAATAAACTTTTGTAATAAAAACTAAATATCTTTTGTTTTGCTTGTAATTAAAACTATTTTTGCTGGAAGCAGAATCAACCTACTATAGATGACAACTGCACATGTAGACACTGGAAACTTAAGGGAATGGAAACTCCACTAATATTTAATTTATTACTGTTTGCTTGACCTACCTTTTAAAAATAAGGATGTGGTTCTCCCTTGGGAAAAGGAGTAGATCTCAACACATGCAATGTGAGGAACTAGTCCATCAACAGAAATTAAAGAACTCTTTTATTCAAAGACATACAGTAGGTTAATTTCCAGCCATCATTCTGCAAAGGACAAACCAGAAAGGAATGCAGTTATACAGTATGTGCAAAAACACAAAGAGAGGGTGATTCAGTGTGTTTCCTTCCAGGGAAACTGCTGCACAGAGGTTAGGACACAGGCACACAATTCACAGTGTCCGGGTTATGCTCAGAAATCAGTCAGCTCTGACTGTGCTTTCACACAAGGTTCTACCAAAAGACAAGCACAGCTATTATTCCAGACAAAACAAGAATGTGGAAATTGGAGACACAGGTGACTAACGTTAATTTAATGTTTAATTAAAGTACTTCAGTTCAAATGATCTATTTGCAATGACTTCATAAATATCAGGATTAAGTATGTTTCTTCTTTTTTACTTCAACCCAAAAGGACCTGTTAGAGTTGCAGTCTGCAGCCTGGAATGGGATTCGTGGCTCTTCAATATCAGCCTTCCAGATCATTGTAATGCTGAACTGAGTGATCGTCCCCCAAACATCCGGGACCTTTAAACGAATCACATCAGGACACCACATTCTAGTGTGCAACCTGCTGAACGTTATTTCCGCCACATTTCTTTTGGGTTATATTTTATTCTGGACTCCCTTTATTGTGCCTGACTGGCTATGGTCTGGGAACAGTCAAACAAACGCTACTGCAGCTCATCTTGACATGTCTGACCGCAAGTCTGCAATCTGTGACATAAAATCCCTTACTGATATTAAAGAAACAACTTACATTCATCAGATATCAGAACACAGAAGAATAACCTCTTTTACAGAGGTTGGTGTACAGATCTTCAGCGTTAGGCCTTGAACTGTTCACCTGATTACGAACTGTACTCGTAGCCATTTATTGATGTAAACGTGCCCTATTTTTCTCAGATTGCTGAACTTTGCACCCTAATCACATCAATATACTGCGTATCACTTATCACTGCAAGAAATTCTCAAAGCTATCAGGAGAATGACCTTTTCTGAAGTAGATGCACTGAGATATTATGGAGCAACAGGGTCTTTACTGTAACATTCACAGCCTAGTAGCATACACGTAATATATGTTATACTGTATAGATCTACACCAGGCTATACAAGTAGCAGGTGCTATCTTTTGGGATGCCTGTTCACTGGTCTCTGAGCCCTAGATGCCACACATCATCCCAGCTCATCCACCAGGTGTTCGACGGGGCACTAGTCTGACCATGAGGGCGTCCACGGCATCACTGTCACATTCTCAACTTGCAAGGAAGGTGGTGTTACACAGACCGCAGGAGGGTTTGCGCTGTCCTGCTGGAATGTCGTCAGGACAGGATGGGCAGTGGGCGATGACCCAAGACTTGACCAATACAGCACTGAGCAGTCGAATCCCAACCCGTCACCTTGCCTGAAACAACGGCTGCTTCGCCTCGTTCTCGTTGGGCTGCTGTCACCGAGCTGGCGAGCTCAGCTTGCGGCGCAGTGGAGCTGGCAGTGCAGTAACGATCAGGTGGAGTGTCGTGACTGGGGGTCTCCCGTCAGGATCACGGCCCGTCATGCGTGAACGGTGTTTGGATGTAACGTCTTGCCAGGTTAGAGATGTTTGGCTGAGTGACGGAAACCACTGTTCTTGTCTTTCCTTTCTGGGTTTCACTCTCTAGATTTTCACCAGGCTAGACTTTCAATAGGTTGAATTTCCTCTATGATATATTTACTTATAAATCTGTGCTATAATACACTTCACGGAAGCATTGACTTAAATAGAAGTTTGAACTGAAGTGCAGCCTGTTTAACTTACTATATCAATTCAGTCCGTTAGTAAGTTCAATGGTAAGGCACATGTTTACTTACCAGAGGCGCTAAAAGGTGCATCATCCTTTAGCTCTCCTGCTTGCTCTGTGCATCAAACACATTTCTTGGACTAAAGCTTGGCAAGCTCCAGACACTACAGTGTATGAGGCACTCGTTAGGAAATAAAGCTTGAATAAATGCCTGGTGAAACGCAGGCCTCTCTTGTTCATTAAGCCTGGTTTATTTGTCAGTATGACCCTGCATCTGTTACAAATTGGTTATCGGATGCGATGTGAGAGACAGGAGCAGATCTGCTCTGCCTATGGGGGGATTGAGTCCTGGTGGCTCATGGACTTAGAATATACTGAGCACCATGCCCTCAATCAGGGGGATCCCTGTCCTGGTCCTGGGGACCCCCACCCCTGCTTGATTTATCACAGCCTCGCTCCTTCCTTAACTGAGCCCCAAAGTCACTTGGTGGGAGTTTTTGCAAGTTTTTTATGTAAAGGTTGGAGGCTTTAAGTTACTTCAGAAAAAAACACTAGTTAAAGGGCCACCTCCTAGATGTTGAGGATCTGTTGAGGAAGATGATGAGGTCAATTAAGGGCTAATTATTTAATTGACCGGTCCCACACATGCCTGTCACCTGAATGCAGTCCCCTGGGAGGAAAAGGGGGGGTCTGCAGTCCGACCTGCCCTGTGCATCTTTGTGAAAGCACTGTGAATCGCCATGTTGGCGCAAACTCACACTCGAGTTCCCACAGAATGCAAAGTGATGCGACCCTTCCTGCTCACTAGTCACTGCACTGACTAATGTACTGTGATATAAAAGCGAACAAATATAGGTTGTGCAGCAGACATTTCACCACAGAAATATTCCAAGGTGATCCGCATGCAGAGTTAACAAGTAAGTTTTATTTCCCTGAAAAACCATCTCGAAATCAAGAGCATAATTCTATTGGATTAAACGACATATATTCACAAGCCTGCTTGTTTACAGTTTCACAGGGCCACAACACATCACTGGATGTTTTGTTGCCTCATTCTGAATCATAGAACACCGTGCTGCATTACTGGAAATTTCATCTCTTTTGTGATGTTACTGTGCACGTTTTATGAAATGCACTAATCAATGCTACTGTAAGTCTTTCTAACTCCGATATATGAAAATAACGTTTTAAGGGCAGTTGCCCTTTAATTGAGATTTGAGGTGAAAAGAAAACCAACTCCTGCTGATGATGAAGTAAATGTGTTTTATTTGTTTCATCTAAATACATGTGTGTCCATTTACTGTACGTGCGATATCACACACTGCACAGATCAATCACCACCAACAGAATATAAAGGCTCCACCCCCACCTTCGCTTGGAGATGAAGGGGCAGCTTTACATACCAGAGATGAAAAATCAAACTGCATTTTCAGTCTTTATTTCCTTTTTGTACCTCATACACACACAGAAGTGTGGAAACATGTACTGTAGCAGGCCTACATTGATCAACACAAATCATCAAAGCTATTCACAGAACATAGAAAGAAGCAAAGCCTACATTACGTGCGCGAGCATGTGCAGTTTTTGAAAAAAAGTCATAGTGAAAAACTGGGACTATGCTAGTTCAGGAAGGGAAGGAGTCCAAGGGAATAACGTACAAAAGGTGAGCAAATAGAATGCACACAAAGAAAAACATCAGACAAGGACAGGCAGGAAGGGAAGAAATAGGAGGAGACACGCACATACTGTAGTGGTCAGTGTGGTTGTATGGTGCTCTGTGTTATTGCCGATGAAGACACAGCACAGCAGACTCTCACCAACCTGGGGAAGGAGAGCTCTCGGGTGGGGTTTCAGATTGTTCTGTGGCTACGTATGCAACAAACACAGTTTGTTTCACACTGGTTTCAATATCTTGTCTTTCTCTCCTTAGTACTATATGCAGACATACATTGTTTTACAACAGTAAGACCTCAGTGATGAAATCTGCAGATGGGACACAAGGTCCCTGGCTATGTCTATTTCACTCGAGCCATAGCGTACGATTCCAACGCCTGACACACATCACAGCACAGCGAAATTGCAAGTAGGCAAATTTAGAACAAGAACAAAAAACAAGGACATGAAAATGAAATATTGTCTGAAAAGTACTGTCTATGAGCGGCAGAGGTGATGATGTTTGTTCTACATACTCATTTAATGCTGGCATGAAAAGCCCAATACTTTTAAGTAGTTTTTTCTTCAGCTACAGGATTTTTAATGTACAAAAACAAATTGCTACAGCTATTAATTGTGGATATGCCTTTATTAATGTCTTATAAGCAGTTAATTAGCAACCACAAATATATCCTTTCACACACTCTGTATGAAAGCAGTCTACTCCAAGCTTAAAATGGAAGATATATAGAGTCTACAGTATATTCTGTATATACTGTATTCAGTATGTATCTTGAATACTTATATTTATGATCCAAAACAGACACCTGACTGTAGTCTATTTATCTACTGGCAAACAGCAGGCAAATTGCTGAGCTTCCAGTGGTGGGGGCAGCTAACCTGTGTGACTCATAGGTTATATATTAATATAGATAAGCTATAGTAATGATATCCTGTCACTGTCTCTCTCATCTTACTGCACGTCTTAAAATGGAGAATGATTCTATTTATTTATTTCATGTGTGGCTTTGAAATACATTTACAGAAGATATTATACAGTGCACAAATAAACGACTGTCACCAAAAACACAGATCTAATCCACCTTTATCTGGAGATGATGGTACTGCCTAACATACCAGTCTGTGTTGAATGTGAGAAATACAACTACGTTTTCATTTCAATCCCGTTAAACAGTCATGTATACTTTTTGATTTCCTTTTTTTACTACATTAGGATTTCAGTAGTTGGTTTAGATCTTAATGAATGCAATAGAGGGGCTAAGTACAGTGTGTAGAGAGTACAATATTTAACCTGACTCACCCAGCTGAGGGAGTGGCAGCCCAGCTGTGAGGATAAGGCTCACTATTGTGAGGAATGAGCTGGGGAGCTGCTACAAGAGTGTAGATGGGGAGGTGAGAGGGATGCAAGAAAGATAAATGAAGGGAAGTCCAGTCTTACTGTTTATACAGTAGGTACTGAAGGTGAGCAGAAGTTTGAGAAGTTAGGGTCTAACCTTCCTCATGATCTCTTAAACTTCGCAGTTCACTTAAACTCCAAGATTCATTTGCTAAGATTCCTGATAGGTAAACAGGTTCCTGTCTACAGTTTTTAAAAATAAGACAATCTGGTTCCCTGGGAGGCCGCATTAGTGAATTATGAATACATTTGATTAACTGATTCATCAATAATACTAACTGCTGTAATCAAAACCTAGCCACAGCTTCTCAAAAGGTATGTTTACATATTACTGAGAAATGGGTAACATTAATACAGTAGCTACTTTTATCTTCCATTTGAAATCATTCTCATCGAAGAAGGATTTTTATTCAATGCAAACGGATGTTCTCCATATGAAAGTGGAGGAAGCACTAGTAAGTGTTCAGTGCCCCCTGTGCTTCAGAATGTGCATCTTGCTGGAGTGCCATGGCCTTCAAGGTCAGGGTTACAAGAGAGGGCCAGATCTGACATCAGCGCCTACTGAATAAAATGCCATCACCCTTGTCACATGTCACGTCTGCCAGCTGTGTCAATAAGCTGGGATCACTCAGCTCACATTCCCTCTGGCCTCCTGAGGAAGGGAATGTGAGGATTCCTCCAGTTCGGACCCCAGGAACTCCGGCCCTCGCTGCTGTTGAAGCTGAGTGGGTGACAGTTCGGCCTGACTCCTTTTTAAACTCCATCTCTCTGTCTTGCTTTGCTTAATTTGATTCATTTTTGTTTCTTTCAAAATGAGCAAAGGGGTGATAATAATAACAAAATAGAAGACTGTCAATGTTCTTTGCTCTAATGTTTAACATCTGTGTTCTGAAAATTACCTAATACAGCAGTTATTGTCCATTACTGTTGTTTTACTGAACTGCATACAGGTATGTGCATCTCTACACAGAGGAGATATTGAACAAAATTAGATTTTTTCTCCAGGTTTGTAAGTTGCAGAAAAAAAAAACAGTGATGGTGTAGGATGCAACTGTTTTTCCCCTAATTTTTCTTTGCATAACTGACCATCCCCTTATGGGAGAGACAGGCAAGAATTTGTGGCTTGTGGGACAAACAGTGGTCACAGATTGAACATGTGATTTAATAACAGAAGAACAATTGGAATGGTGATGGTGACTGAAGAATTGCAATTTTCACTTGAAATAAAATATCGATTTTTCTCATTCCCAGGCTGTTCCCTGACCCGGATCAGCACTACCTCCATTTCTTCTCTCAGCCCGTCCTGAAACTCACTTGTCAGCTGGTGCTGCAGGTTACAGAACTCTGTGTTTCAGGAGGAGGGGAAGGTCTCAGGGGAGGAGCTGACCGAAAACAGATCATCACTCACCTTCAGGTGTGGCGCTTGGCTGCTCGTCTTTTCCATCTGGAAGAGAAGGAGAGGTTGTGAACACATACTGATGGCGTCAGCAGAGCTTCCTGATTTAATGCAGACCCTGATTTGTTCTTATTCCTTTACACTTGTTTTAGTTCACTAAGAGCTGCAGGAAACTGATTAATTGTCTATTTGCTTAATCTGTGGTGGCTGACACACACATCATTTTCTTATAATATTTAGCTAACCCTAGATGAAAGTGGAGTAGAACAAACGAAATCATTAAACTTTGTAGACAATTCACAGACATCGCTCATTAAAAGCATATTGTAAGTATACAAGAACACTTTATGGCTATTGTTTCTAAAACACCTGTTCTGTAAAAAGTATTGAATCCTCCATGAAGTTCATAACCTGAACATAAGAATGTCATGTTTGCAAATAAGAGAAAGGTCTTTCTTTAGTCCATCTTAAGTAGCTGAATGGAACTAAAACTTACTCCAGCCATTTCTTAAAAGTGCTCAGAGTTTACACCTCAACTACCTGGCTGGGAAGACAGCTGCAGACGCCCTCAACTCTTTGTGTAAAAACATTTCCCAATCTCCATCTCAAAATCATTTCCCTTTTAGCTTCCAGTTGTGACCCCATGCTGTTGTTTTACTGCTGGCTGCAAAATATTTCCTGGGGTTTGCCATACTGATACCCCTAAGGATTGTATAGACTCAAATCTCCTCTCATTCTCCTGTGTCCAAGGCAGAAGAGATTCAACTCCCTTTACTGTATGATCAGTACCCAAGAATTGCTTGAGACCAGAAATAAAATGACAGAGGCTAAATGAACTATTTGACATGATAAAGATGATACTCTGATTGAAGAAATAAAGTGAAAGAGAACAGCAATTTATTCTAGAACACGAGAGTTCCTGGTTGGAAATGTTGTGCAATGAAAAAAATGTAAGAGGACAGTCTGTTTCCAGTTTCATTTTGAAATCATCATTTTAAAATAATAGTGACAAAGCACATTCCTCATCCCTAATACAGCTGTTAAACCTAAAAGGCTACCGATTATTTCTCCCAGTGAAATTCCACTGCTCAGAAAGGAATAAAACATGTGGAGTCATGTGTACAATTTTCTTTTCTTAGAAAGCATGCATGGAGATCGAAGCTAGACAGAAGTCAAAGAAGGAGGTAAGTATTACAAAGTGCGGAGTTTGAACCTGTTCTTGCATCAGAAGTCAATTAGCACAAGAATGATGATGATGATGATGAAGGTTACTAT